TTCCATGTAGACTTAAAAGTTTCTAATAATCAAATCAAATATCAGTTTCTAAATTTAAATTTAAATTAAGTAAAATTAAAATTCAGTTCCTCAGTCACGCTAGTCTCATTTCAAGTGCACAGTCGCCTGTGGCCAGTGGCTGCCATACTGCACAGCACAGATCTGGAGAGTCGAAGGCCAGCAGAACCAAATGCAGGAATTGCCGCAATTATTTGATTTGCTATGTGTCCAAAGATCGTCCCAGGTTAACCCAGTGATAAAAGTCTTTACTTTGACCATCAAGGTTTTTTCATGATTGGATCCCAAATTGCCTTTTATCATAATCTCTCATTAATTCCTCTATGGTCACATAGGTTTCCTCACTGTCCCTGGGCATGTAAGGTTAAGCTGACCTCCAGACTGTGGCTCTTGCTTTCCTCCTCCCTAGATATCCTCCAGTATCACTTAACATCCTTTCAGCTGCAAGTTACAGAAAGTTGGCTAAAAGAAAAGGCAAATTTACGGGCTCAAGAATAGGAAGTCTAGAGTAAGGTGGGCTTTGGGTTGGTGGATCTCAGTGGCTCAATTATGTAATCAAAGACCCAGGATTTCTGGTCTCTTGGCTCTGTTGTCCAGAGCTTGGCTTCATCCTAAGCCTTGTTCTTCACGCAGTCACAGAATGTTTCAGTAGCAATTAATGTTGAATGTCATCCCCTAGCTGGGGAGGGAAAGGTAGGGTAATAGAATCTGTTTCCAAAAATTTGGCAAACTTTTCCTTTTATCTCGTTGGCTTCATCCTGCCCATCCCTAAGGATGGGATGATCACGTTTGCCTGAGACTAACCAAGCCTCAGCACCGGAGCTGGGGACATTTCTCCAAACCATGTTCTTGCTACACAATAGGGAGGGGTGGAATGGACGTCAGAGAATTAACCCCAATGACCCAAACACCTCTCTCACCCTTTTTACTTTTTTCTCCCCCTCCCACCAGGGAAATCTATTATTTATTTATTTGTTTGCTTCTCCAGCTTTATTGTAATATAATTGACATATAACATTGTGTAAGTTTAAGGTATACAACGTATTGATTTGATACACTTATATATTGCAAAATCCACCATAGCCTTAGCTAATACCTGCATCAAGTCACATAATTAAAATTTCTTTTTTGTGGTGAGAACTTTTAAGATCTACTCTTAGCAACTCTCAAGTACATAATACAGTATTACTAACTATAGTCGCCATGCTATACATCAGTTCCCCAGAACTTATTCATCTTATAACTGGAAATTTGTACTCTTTGACCAAAATTTCCCCATTTCTCCCACCCCCTAGCTCCTGGTAGCTACCATTCTAGTCTACTTTTTTCTTTATGTTTTTTAATTGAGATATAACTGACTTATAAAATTGTATTAGTTTTATGTGTACAGCACGATGATTTGATATATGTATATTGTGAATTGATTACCAGAATAAGTTTAGTTAACATGCTTAGTCACAGTTTTCTTTCTTCCGATGAGAACTTTTAAGATTAACTCTCTTAGCAACTTTCAAATATAAAATACAGTATTATCAACTATAGTCATCATGCTATAAGTTACATCCCCAGGACTTATTTAGCTCATAACTGGAAGTTTGTACCTTTTGACCACCTTCACCCATTTTGCCCACCCCACACCCCTCACCTCTGGTAACCACAAATCTGATCTCTGTATCTATGAGTTTGGGGTTTTTTTAGATTCCACATATAAGTGAGATCATACATATCTGTCTTTCTCTAACTTATCTCACTTAGCATAATGCCCTCGAGGTCCATCCATGCTGTTGCAAATGACAGAATTTTCTTCTTTTTTATGGTTGAATAATGTCCCATTGTATATCACATCTTTATCCATTCATCCAACACTGGACACTTAGGTTATTTCCATGTCTTGGCTATTGTAAATAATGCTGCAGTGAACATGGGGGTGCAGACACCTTTTTGAGATCGTGATTTCATTTCCTTTGGGTAAATACCCAGAAGTGGGATTGCTGGACCCTACAGTAGTCTTATTTTTAATTTTTTGAGGAACCTCCATACTATTTTTCATAGTGGCTGCACTAATTTACATTCCCACCAACAGTGCACAAGTGTTCCTATATTTTTTAATTATGGTAAAATATACTACAATAACATAAAATTTATATTATATCTTATAGCATAAAATTTGACACTTTTACCATTTTTAAGTTTACAGTTCAGTAGTATTAAGTACATTCACATTGTTATGCAATCATCACTACCATCTCTCTCCAGGACATTTTTCATCTTCTCAAACTAAAACTCCATAATCATTTAATAACTCCTCATTTTCCCCTCCCCAAAGCCCCTGGCAACCATCATTCTACTTTCTGTGTCTATGCATTTGACTACTCTAAGTACCTCACGTAGGGGAATGATACAGTATTTGTCCTCTTGTGACTAGCTTATTTCACTTAGCATAATGTCCTCAAGGTTCATACATGTTGTAGTATGGGCCAGAATTTCTTTCTTTTTTAAGGCTGAATAATATTCCATTATAGGTATATACCATACTTTGTTTATCCATTTATCCATAGTTGGACACTTGGGTTGCTTCCATGTTTTAGCTATTGAGGATAATGCTGCTATGAACATGGGTGTACAAATATCTGTTTGAGTCCCTGATTTCAATTCTTTGGAGTATATACCCAGAAGTGGAATTGGTGGATCATACAGTAATGTATTCTTAATTTTTTGAGGAACTGCTACACTTTTTTCCATAGCTCTGCATTATTTTATATTCCCACCAGCAGTGCACAAGAGTTTCAATTTCTCCACGTCCTCCTCAAGACTTATTATTTTCTGTTTTGTTTTTTTTTTTTTGATAATAGCTTTCCTAATAGGTGTGAGGTGGTATCTCATTGTAGTTTTGATTTGCATTTCCCTAATGATTAGTGATGTTGAGCATGTTCTCATGCACTTATTGGCCATTTGGATATCTTCTTTGGAGAAATGTCTGTTCAAGTCATTTGCCCATTTTAAAATCAGATTGTTTGTTTTTTCATTGTTGATTTGTAGGAGTTCTTTATATATTCTGGATATCAATCCTTCATCAGATATATAATTTGCAATATTTTCTCTCATTCTGTGATTTGCGTTTTCACTCTGTTGATAGTTTCCTTTTATGCATAAAAGTTTATCATTTTGATGTACACCCATGTTCATAGCAGCATTATCCTCAATAGCTAAAACATGGAAGCAACACATCTAGTAGTGCAAGAGCTGAGATTCTCACTCAGGAAGAGCTTCCTCCTAGTTGGATTCCTTATTCAGTATGCTGCCTACTGTGCACTAGATGCTAGAGACATAAAGATGAGGCAGATATCACTGCCCATGGAAGTGCAGTGATAGAGGTGGGCACAGAAGATTAGAAGGACAAGAGGGAGGACCACCAACCTCTGTGGGTGTTTAGAGAGACAGGGAAGGCTTCCTAAGGAGGGAGGGTTGAGCTGAGTCTTAGAGGAAAAGATAGTGCTGGAAAGGGAGAGTGGACATCCAATCATTCTGCCAGCCCAGCACCGTGCCCTCCTGGGAATGATATCCCTCTTCTTTCAGGAACCTTCCCACTGTGGGATTCTTCCATGGTCTTACAAAGTCCCTGACTCTGGGTGAGTGGTCTAGGTCTCTGATTGGTCTTAGACACCAACCTAAGCCCAGGCAATCACAGACTTTCCCTAGGATTTTTCAAACCAAAACTCCAAACAAACATCAATCCTTATCTAATGGTAGAAATTGAAGAATGAAACCCAGGGGCTGTGAGCACCTGGGTTCCCTGACATGTGGAGGGATGATCTAGAGTGAGAAAGAATGATGCCAATACAAAGAGAGAACAGGGACCAGAGGTAGAAAGAGAGTCTTCGTAGCTTGCCCTTTCCCTGGCTTGGTTGTTTAATCATTTCTTGAATAAGCAAGATAAACCTGTATTCTTCTGATAAATTCTCCTTTTGCCTCAGTGGCTCCAGTGAGGTTTCTATCACTTTCCACCATAAGAGCCCTAATCTGCTTACTTAGTAATAGGCAAGAATGGGTGACTCTAGGAGAGCAATTGGCTTAAACACAGTGTCAGAAGCAAGCAGAGCAAAAGGCGAATGGAGAAAGCCAAAGGGGTTTGGCATTTGTCAGAGTGTAATCAAGACAAGAAGTGGCAAATGATGAGGCTAATAAGTTGGCAGACACCTGATCATGCCGCCTGGGTGTATTTTGTACAGGACTTTGGACTTGATCCTGTATATATTCTGTTCCTTCTACAGGATTCTAAGTAGGCATTAGGCAGAGGTTCTGTAAACTGTACCATACTTACTAGTTATTAAGAAGTTCTTAACCTGAGAGTCACAGGTAGCTTCAGTTGTCCCCAAACCCTCTGAAATAGCATGAAAAATCTGTGGATGTCCACAAGTTTATTTCTCTTTGTTTTTTTTTTGTTGTTGTTGTTATGGAAAAGATCTCTAACTTTCGTCAGATACTAAAGGAGTCCCTCACCCAAAATATATGAACTTCTGTGTTCAGGCATTTTCGGGAATAACTGGCTTCAAATATTCATACAAATCTAGTTTCCCCCCTGGTTTCCTCACAACTCTTAGAAAACTGTTCAGCACAGAGAAAATGCTTCATAACTGTTCGTTTGGACCCTGTCTTAAAAAGGGATTCTCCTTCAGGACCATGAAAAGATATAAAGAGATGATATAGACCTGCTTATTGACATGGATTTTAACCAGGAATACTGTATATGACCTCCATCCTGTTCCTGGCTTGGGCAGCCAGACCAGACCTGCAGGCTCTCGGAGGTGGCACCCAGGGCACCACTGCTGTCTCCGAAAACCAACTCCAATCACCCTTGCCCTTCCCCCCGTGGCTGGAGCGACTACAAGTCCCGGGAGGCGCCGCGCTCGGAGCCGGGGCGAGGGCGGGGCATCGCCGCAGTGACGTCACCGACCCGGGGCGGGCCGGGGGAGGCGGGGCGGAGGGGCGGGCCGGGGAGGCGGCGGAGCGCGCTGGTGCTGATGCAGGATGGCTGAGCGCGCAGGAGCCCGGGAGGTCTGAGCCGGGCGAGGCTCGCTCGCTGCGCATCGCCTCGTTCGCCCGCCGCGTGGTCGCGGGCAGGTGGGCCCGGGGCGCCGCTCCGGGTTAGCGCAGGGCCAGGGAAGGCAGGTCTGCAGCCGGCGGGGCCGGAGGCTGACAGACTGCCCACCTACCCGGTCTCGGAGCGGCCGGAGCTGCCCAGCCCACCGAGTTCGCGATGACCTGCTGAGAAGCTTCGTCGGAGGCTGCAGGAGGCGGCCTCGCCGAGGGTGGTGCGGTTCGCGGCCTCCTCCCTCGTCGCGCCGAACCTCGGCCCCCCACCCATCCCCGCGCCCCCTCCCAGCCTCCGGCCGAGATGGCGGATCCAGCCGAATGCAGCATCAAAGTGATGTGCCGGTTCCGGCCCCTCAACGAAGCGGAGATCCTCCGCGGGGACAAATTCATCCCCAAATTTAAAGGCGATGAGACCGTGGTGATCGGGGTAAGTGGCCGGGGCGTCTGGCCTCTCCTCCTGCTTCGCGCCACAGCCCGGCGCCCCGACGCCCCAGACCGAGCCGAGATGCTCGGGCTGCCCCTTCGGACATCCCTGCCGGGCTGCCCTCTCCGGTGGACTTGACGAGAGACCCCTCTCCCCCCTGCCCTATAGTTCCCTTCTGGGCGGCTGGAGAGGCAACTAGGGGCGGCAGGGCGGACCCCAAGTGGCGCGGGTGGGGGTGGGGGGCGAGGAAGGGTTCGGCGCCGCCATTGTTCGCGGGGTGGGGGCCCGGGTGGGCCTATTGTTCCCCGTCCTGGCCACGCCGCGTGGGTAGTGTGTTCAGGTTACCCCCAAGCCGGGGTGCCCAGGCTCCCCTTAAAGTATGAACTCTGCAGCCCACAAATGATTCCAGGCATCAGTTCGATTTATTGAACACTTTGCCTCTTCTTCTCAACATCTTGGCAAAAGAAGAAGAAAAAGAAATGTACTAGGAAAAATCCTAGTCTCGGCTGGGAGCTCCTAGGGCCGTGTAGACACGGCTCCCCGCGGCGTTTCACCTTGGAAGGCGGAGGTTGGGAGGAACACTGGTGGCCTTGGTGTCCCTGGGAGGCCTGGTGTGTCTCCTGCTTCCTCTCAACGCAGGCTGCCCTGGGAGTGGAGCCCGGGTCTGACCCCTTCCCAGTGGGGCGATCCCCCACCTGGTGCCCGCAGACCCTCGGATGTGCTTCGCGCTGGGTGGAGAGGAGGCGGTGTTCTCATCTCTGTGGGGCTAGGGGGCCCAGAGCGCAGCCAAATAGCCCTTCAGTGCCAAGAGCAGAAGTTACTTTGTGTGGCTTGGGCCCCCCTCTCTCTTGATCTCCCTTCCCACCTTTCCCCACCCCCGACTTGGCTCCCTCTCTGCAGCCTGGGCTGCTGGTGGGGGGAGGGAATACCATTGGTTTTTAGTTCTTAAAGGAATATGTCAAATAAAATAAACCAGCTTTCCCCCGCCCCTCCCCCCTCCGCTGTCCCCAGCGTGTGTAGCTGACGGTGCCCTCTTTGTATGCGAGCCGCGTGGGGAGGGACCGAGTTAATGGGAGCCTCCAGTTCCCCGCTGACACGTTCCTGGCAGTCCGCTCCAGGCTGCTGATGCAGCCTTCCCGTCCTCAGCATTGATTAAGTGATGTCATCCCGATCACTGAGCATGCTCCGACTAACCCCCTCCCTCCCATTCCCCCAGTGGCTGGTGTATTTAGGTCAAGTGATTGACAGGTGACAATTTACCGAGGGTCTCTGCCAGAGTCCGCCAGCCTTTCTCAAGCCCCAGGGGCTAACGTTTCCTGGCCCAAGCAGTCCCCAGCATTTTTGCTAAGGTTGTGCCGCAGTCCCTGCGAAGGGCTCTGGGGACTAGCAGGTGCTAGCTGTCCCGGTAGGCGGTCGCTCCCCGTGCAAGGGGAACCCAGGCAAGGCGAACTCAGGCAAGGCTCTGGCCTCCGGGCTTCATCTTGTACCTCCCTTAGGAAGGCAGCTCCCCTTTGATGACCCCTTCTCCCCTCCCCATTTTCACAGCCATCAGGAAACCACGACCTCTAAATGCTACGTGCATGGGCGTTCATTCTGAGAGCTGACCTATGAGGGCAGGAAAGAGGGGTTTTCTCTCTGCTTAGTGTTAAATTGAAGAGAAGATGTATGCTACAATTATTGATGAGGAGGAAAATTCTGTACTTAATGGCAGATAGGAGATAGTGACATATCTATGGCCAGTACATGGGGCAGATAGTAGCTTGTTTGAGTTACACCTCTCAGCTGGGATCAGCCTACAGTGATTTGCTATTTCCTAAACCAGGCTGAGGTTTAGATACAGTGGGAGTTACTGGGGACATCTAGTCCCTGCCCCTTGCCTTGTAACAATTTTTTAACAAATAATTGTGCAGCACTAGAACATGTTCTGTGACCCTGTTTTTTTGTCCCAGAGGTTTTAAAGAAAAGCCTGGAGAAGTTTCTTCTTCTTCTTCTTCATCTTTGTTTTCATATTCTTCTTCTTCCTCTTCTACTTCCTCCTCCTCCTCCTCTTTCTCCATCTTCTAACAGTAAGATACCAGGACTAATGATGTGGAGTAGTAAGTCATCCTCTTTGATCTGTGTGCAAGGCAGAGATCCTTAACTTAGGGTTATCCTTCTTTAATATTATGACATTACTATGAGTATATATTTGTATCCCATCAAAATATGCATATGTTATTGACTAAATAAATTAAAACAAAGTCATCATATAAAATAAGTAATTTAAACAAAAAATTGCGGTGTGAATACACATGCCGCTCTTCAGCGATAAAGTGAAATCTTTGCTCATCTTACTATAATCTTTTAATACAACAGTTTTCAGTTTTTTTAAACAAATTTTTATTGAAATAAAGCATCCATATAGAAAAGTGTTATCATAAGTGTACAGCTTGATGAGTTTTTGTAAAGTAAACATTCCCTTCTAATCACCTCTCAGACTAAGAAACAGACATTTTCAGGACCCCAGAAGTCCCCCTAGTGTCCCTCCCAGTCTCTTATTCCCCCTGCTTCAGGGTAACCACTATTCTGACTTCTAATGTCATAGATTAGTTTTGCTTGTTTTTTAAAAAAGCTTTATATACATAAAACCATACAGTATGTTCGTTTTTATGTGTGGCTTCTCGCACTCCACATTATGCTTGTCAAGTTCATCCATGTTGTGGTGTGTAGCAGCAGTTCATCCTCGTTGTTCTGTAGTATCCCATTATATGAATATAGCACAATTTATTTATCCATGAACTGTTGGTAGATATTTGGCTAGTTTCCAGTTTGGGGCTAATATGAACAGAGCTGCTATGACCATTCTTCACACGCTTTTGGTGAGTGTGCGTACAGAACAGAAGACTGCCAGATGCTGAAGGGTGTTGGGACTCCGGTTGGCGTGTGCTAGGGCCCTTCCCATTCCTAGTTAATAATGTGTAACTAAAGGAAACGACAGTTCTGGCAGCCTGTATCATGCTTTGTAAACTGAGTAGAATGTTTCCCAAGTCAATTCAGTTGGAACCAGCCCACATTGCTCAGTTGCAGGGGGAGACTGCTAAGGGTGGTCACTCCGTTCCCTGTTTGCAGGGGTGCAGGTTGTGGGAATGACCAAAGAAGCCTAGAACCATCCAGAAATGTCAATCACCTTCACTCCCAACGGAGACAAGTAAAGAATGAATTTCTCTGAGATTAGTCCAAATTCAGAATCCCAGAGATGCTTTTTGGGTTTGAAACTGGGGTCATTTTTTTCCCTTTAAAGTCCTGTTCAGTTCTTATGGAGATGTATGCTAAGAGGGAGATTTTTCAGGTGGAATTTCTGGATTTTTCTTTTTTAAGAGAATGTCCTGGGGCCAGCCCGGTGGCACAAGCGGTTAAGTGCGCACTCCGCTGCGGTGGCCCGGGGTTCGCCGGTTCGGCTCCCGGGCGCTCACTGATGCACATGCTGTGGCGGCGTCCCATATAAAGTGGACGAAGACAGGCATGGATGTTAGCCCAGGGCCAGTCTTCCTCAGCAAAAAGAGGAGGATTGGCAGATGTTAGCTCAGGGCTGATCCTCCTCACAAAAAAAAAAAAAAAAAAGAGAATGTCCTGTTTTGGAGAAATCTCTCTATCATTCTTCAATTTTTCATCTCCTGTGCAAAGCTTTCTTTCTCTGACCTCCCCAGCCACAGCCTTCCCCACTAGGAACTCCTGTAACATTTATTTTGTATATGATCTCATAATTATTTGGCTTTCGATTCTTATTAGCTTTGATCGTATGTCTAATGACATTGTAAACCATGTGTAGAGACAAGAACCATCCATGTTTTGCTTCTTTGTACTTCCCGGGGCCTTGCCCATAGAAGGCATTTAATAAATATTTATTGATCTCTTTGTTGAGTCTAGAAATCTTTAATTTGGTTTATTTAACTTGTTTTATGGACTTTTAATTGGCTGTAGGCTGTGGGGAGTAGTTAAAAAACAATTTTAAAGAGAAGTGCTATTCCTTTGAGCAGGCCTAGTCAGATAGCATATATTATATTTAAATGCTATAAAAAATTGGGAAAGAACTGCATTCAGCTTTGTTAAAAATTAGGAGAGCTAATGACACTGGTGGTGAGCTAGAAGTGGAGGGTGGGGGTGGCTTAATGGTTAGAAAAGGGATTCCACGTTAATTCTTCAGAGAAAAATATTGGATTTACAGCATTTCGCAGAGTACTCCTCCATTAGCTGCTAAAAATCCTGGTGAGTCATCCATTACTTTGGGCTCTGCCTATGGGTGTTGATGCATCTGTATCGATGGAAACTCTCTGTCTTGGAGAGTTCCCAGTAAGTTTCTTGGAAATGGACTTTCACACTTCAGATTCCTCGTTTTGGGCTTTCTGCTTGCTCGCAGTCCTGGGAAAGCAGGTCTTGTTGAAGATGGGTGCTTCCTCCTGAGGCAACATAAGTTCCGATCTGTTTGAGAGCCAAGGGAAGACATCAGCCACAAACCCTGAGCTGGGCAGTGGCCTGGAAAGTGGCCTCAGTCTCAGGAGCTTAGATTAGTTCTGGGCAGAGGATGGGCGAGGAAGGCAGGGGCTGGGACAGAGACCAAATTCCCAGCCTGGGTTATCATTGTGGAGATTAAGTGCTGAAGAAGTGAAGGAATATAGCTAGAACTTTTCTTTTTGTCCGTAGTAATGGTCTTTAAAAGCAAGAACATTTAAAATTTTTCTTTTTCAATCCATATACAGTGAAGTCACTTTTTTTTGGTGTAGAGTTCTATCACAGGGGGTTTGGCAAATACGTAGAGTTCTGTAGCTATGCTGTATTAGTTTTGTATTGCTGCTATAACAAATTACCACGATTTTAGAGGCTTAACATGATACAAGTTTATTATGTGCAGTTTCCATAGGTCAGAAGTCCATCAGGTCAGCTGGTTTCCCTTGTTTAGAGTCTCAGAGAGCCAAAACCAAGGTGTTCGCAGGGCCTTGTTCTTTTCTGGAGGGTCTAGAGGAATA